GTTTCCTTTTCTTCTCCCCCTCCCCCACTGTACCTCAAGATAATCTTACAGTTGATGCCCAAGTTAGTCTTGAATTAGTAGTTCAAGGATCCTCCTGGGTCAGTTTTTTTTTTGAGGGCAGGAGATACAGGTCTATGTCTCTGTACACAGTTTTTTGTTTGTTTGTTATAAAGTGTGCCCACTAGGCAAGAGAGTCATGTCTGTCATCGCAGGACTTGGGAAGCTGAGGCAGGAGGGTTGTCACAAGTTGAAGGTTAACCTGGGCTACATATTGAGTGTCAGGGTAATCAGAGCTTTACATAGAGATCCTGTCAATAAGAGAAAAAAAAAGTGTTGGTGTACACCTTTAATCTTAGCACCCAAGAGACAGAGGCAGGCAGATCTCTGTGAGTTCAGGGCCAGCCTGGTCTACATAGTGATTTCTGGGATAGCCAGGGCTACATAGTCAGTGTCTTTCTAAAACCCTAAGTGAGTGAGCAAGTAAAGTATCTACCAGGAAAATGGAGGGCCAGCAGGGGCAGTGGCTTCAGACTATGATGCCTGTGGCACATCTGAGGTCTTCCTTCATCCTGGCGAGCCTCTGCCCCCAGACCCTCAACGTCTTTCCTGTGTCTCTTGGTGCTTTTCACTGGGCACTTGGCAGGACTCAGATGCGTTTGTCCCAGGAGAGCCCATTGAGGCCCTCTGTACTTACCTTCTACAAGAAGGGCTGTAGCTGTCACCTGTCACCATGCCTGCTGGCCAAAAGCCTGGTGGCAGCTGGTATTCTCCTGCCTGAGAGGTGCCCTGCCCAGTCCCAGGACGTCTCTACTGAATACAGGAAGCTGTAGCGTAGCTTCTGGCAGCTTTCGGGAGCTCAGAGAACACAAGTCCAGTTACTTTCTTCCTTTAGCTTTGAGGATTTTTGTTTGTTTGCTTGCTTGCTTGTTTGTTTTTGAAACAGTTCTTCTGATGTAGTCTGGGCTAGCCTGGACTTAAGATTCTGCAGTCTTAGCCTCTCTAGTGCTGGGACCACAGACTCAGCTGCATTGTGTGCTTTTAAACTAAACTTTGGCTTGGCTCGGGTTTCATTTACAGAGACACAGTATGTAGTTGGGAATGAATAACGTAGCAAAATTCCCTTCATGGGAATTTTCCCTTCTACTTGCTGTGCAAACCCCCCTCATGGCTGCAGCCTCAGGCTGTCCTGACCTCTCAGGTCCTAGGTTATACCCACAGCTTCAGAGAGGTCAGGTGAGTTTGTCCTTGATCACCTGCAAGGCATCTTGGGAATGGTGCTTTGTTGGGATGTGCTGTGTGCCCACAGTGTCTGGCTCTGTGCCCTGACTGGGTGAGGACAGGCTCCTTGGTGTGTTCCTAGAGATCCTGCTGGCCTGTGTTACTCAGGGCTGCTCTGACCTGCCAGGGCTGCCTCTAGGGATTCACATCCTGAAGCTGGCAGGGTGTGTGTGTCCGTGTCTCTGTCCCTTACCTAGAACTGGAATAAAGGCCTTTTCTAGGCTAGCTTCTGAGAGAGCCAGGAGGCTAACACTGGAGGATTCATGGTAACCAACCCATCACCATGGCACTTACTACAGAAAGGTCATAGACCCCTGGTACCCTCAAGCTGGACCACCCCATGGCTGCCAGAGTCCACCCTGGGGACTATAATGTCAGTTAGACTCATGGAAAAGTCCTGTCTAGGTTTCATAGTCAGTGACTATTGTTGCAAAACCTTGGAGGGCAGGGCAGGGATCTGAGTTTGAAGTCTGCTTAGATTATATGGGGAAATTCTGCCACAAACCAACCCCACCCACCAGGAAATACCCTAAGGCTGAAGAGAGCTGGTTTGGGAGTGAGGTGGGGGACGAGGGATGCTAGTTGGTCTGTGGTCTCCTTGAGTCACAGTGCAGTCTAACCACACTCCAGTCCATGTCACCCTAGACAAGGCTCAACACAGAGTGGCCAAAGGCTTGAGGGTGCTCCGTGCTGAATGAGCAGATAGAGAAAAGGAAGGGGGGCTGGAGAGATTGCTCAGTGGTTAGGAGCAGTGGCTTCTCTTCCAGAGGTCCTGAGTTCAATTCCCAGCACCCACATGGTGGCTCACAACCATTATAACTGTGGTTCCATGGGATCCAGTGCCCCCTTCTGGTGTGTAAATGTACATGGAGGCATATACATAATTAAATCTTTTCTGGGCAGTGGTGGCTCACGCCTTTAATCCCAGCACTTGGGAGGGAGAAGCGGGCGGATTTCTGAGTTCGAGGCCAGCCTGATCTACAGAGTGAGTTCCAAGACAGCCAGGGCTACACAGAGAAACCCTGTCTCGAAACACCCCACCCCACCCCCCAAAAAAAAGAAAAGGAAAAAGAAAAAGAAGGGACAGAAATCCTGAGTAGGGTTGTTTGCTTGCAGGGACCTTGTGCCAGACAGCTCTGTCCACATTCCGTTCCTAAATCCTCAGGTGACCCACAGAGGAGACAAGCCTGTGTAGGAGAACTGAGGCTCAGCTCTGGACTCCATACACTGCCAGTCTGAAGGTGTCCTGCAGAATGTCAGAGCTGCATACAGATGTCCCATAGTTCCCTGAGCTAGGAGACACATGGACACCTGAGCTCAGAGCCACATTTAATTTTATCAACAGTGACAGCGACCACCATCCAAGAGCTGTCCTTTAGAGTTTCTTGCTCACCCTCCCTCAGCTCAGTATGCCAAGCCAAAAAAAAAAAAAAAAAAATGGAATCACTAACATATCAAAATTAAAAAAAATAAATCTCGTCATCTGGGGCATGTAATTGATTCAGGTGAGAGCACTTGGCACAAAACCAGGATTTGTGGATTCCTGGAACCTACGTGGTAGAAGGAGAGAACCAACTCCTGCAGGTTATCTTCTGAATGTGCGCCGTGGTACGTGCGCACAGCCCCCCTCCCGCCCATACACACGTTAATTAAATAGTATACATGTAATTTTTTTTTTTTTTTTGCCTAGGTTTGGTGGCAGATCCCTTTATTCCCAGTACACGGGTGTCAGAGACAGGTAGATAGATCTCTGTGAGTCTGAGACCAACCTGGAGTACATAGCAAGTTTCAGACCAGCCAGGGCTACCTCGTGAGTCCTTGCCTAAACAAACAGACAAACAAAGGAATAGAATTTTTAATCCCAGCACTGAGGAATTAGAAACAGGTGGCTCCCTGGGTATTCCTAGCAGGAGGCCTAGATAGATTCAGAGAGAACTTCCAGGTCCTCGTAGGATATCTAAATAAATGAATAATGAATGAATACATACAATAGATACAAGGCAGATCCAGGTGTGGTGGCGCACACCTTTAATCCCAGCACTCAAGTTAGGAGGATCTCTGAGTTCAAGGCCAGTGAGCTCTGGATCAGGGAGAGACATCATGAAACTCTCTCTCTCTCTCTCTCTCTCTCTCTCTCTCTCTAAATTTATTTATTTTATGTATGAATACACTGTAGCTATTTTCAGACACACCAGAAGAGGGTGTCAGATCCCATTAGAGATGATTGTGAGCCACCATGTGGGTGCTGGGAATTGAACTCAGGACCTTTGGAAAACCAATCAGTGCTCTTTTTTTTTGTTTTTTTGTTTTTGTTTTTTAAGACAGGGTTTCTCTGTATAGCCCTGGCTGTCCTGGAAGTCACTCTGTAGACAAGGCTGGCCTCGAACTCAGAAATCCGCCTGCCTCTGCCTCCTAGGTGCTGGGATTAAAGGTGTGCGCCACCGCCCAGCCAGTCAGTGCTCTTAACTGCTGAGCCATCTTTCCAGCCTGAGACCCTGTCTCAAAAAAGCTAAAGAAAAGCTCAAAGTGAATGGCTCTTCCCTAAGTAGTAACACCAGAGGTCTTCTACACACACACACACAAACACAGAAAGTCTGGGGTTATAGATGTGCACCATGGCTCCGGGCAAGCAAGGTTTAGTTTCAAGAGATGTTCAGCACATACCAGGTCTCCAGTAAACGTTACTATCAGCAAAGCAATTGATCATTCCTGTAATGTACTTCCATTTAGTTCATTCCAGTCAAGCATTCCTTCCAATGTGTTTTCTCTTTTCACCTTTTCTGGTGCTGAGCTTAAAGCTAGGTATGCACCACCCCACCAACTGAACCTCAATACCCACTTCCTCTTTCTGATCTGTTCGCTAAGCAGTGGGGTCCTTCCTTGCTCTTCAGAGCCGATCTGGTCCCTAGTACTACCATCAAGATGCTGTAAACTTTACATGCTGGCTGAACCACTAATCTGTGAACCTGGTGTGTCCGTGACCACAGATCTGGAGATGGGACAGGAAGAGAGTCGCACTTAGAGGGGAAGAGCAGTGCAGACCTGCCCCATGAGTGGCTCTGAACAGACTTGAGTCTAGAGATGATCGGGGTACGTTGAGAATCTACGCGTGTCTCTCTACTCACGGCAACCTGAGATCAGATGCTATGTGCCCTACTGGGTCTAGGATTCCACGCAGGCTGTATGGCTGGAGGAGATCTCCTGGTCCCTGAGGGTCTTTTTAGTTTGTTTTTCGAGACAGGGTTTCTCTGTATAGCCCTGGCTGTCCTGGAACTCACTCGGTAGACAAGGCTGACCTCGAACTCAGAAATCCACCTGCCTCTTCCTCTGCTTCCCAAGTGCTGGGATTAAAGGCGTGCGCCACCACTGCCCGGCTTCTCTGAGGATCTTTAGGCTCTCCAGAGCTCAGTGGGAACTCTTTGGACAGCAGCTCCGGGGTGTGTCACCCATGGGGTGATTAGCGCCGCGAGCCAAGGAGGAGGAACAGTGTGTAATGAAAGAACCATGTTGAGGAGTGTGATCTAGTCGGGCCGGGCTGATGCAGACCCAAGTCTGCAAAAGGGGATGTGCGGCCACGTGCTGGAGCACAGAGGAGCTCATGTGCCGGATTCTACAGGTCCCTTTGCCCGGAGGGGCGTGGCCTGCGTGAGGCACCGCCTTCAGCCCGCCCCTCGCCGCGCGGGACTCGCGGGTTAGCAGCCGGCTTGTTGAGGTCAGAGGAGGCGGGCAGCGCATCCAAGCCCAGCGCCTGCGCGTACTTAAACGCACTCGGAGCAGAGACCGAGCGAGCGGCCTGAACAGTCCCAGCTTGTGACACCATCTGGACCACGCGCCACTACAAGCTTCCCAGCATGGAGAGCGAATGCCGGGTGCTCTCCATCCAGAGCCATGTTGTCCGCGGCTACGTGGGCAACAGAGCGGCCATGTTCCCTCTGCAGGTATGCGCTCCACTGCTTATGTAACCCGGCCGGGCTGCTCGCTGGTTTGTCTGCGGGTTCGCTGGGTGGCCTTCTTTGACTAATGACCTTGGCCCCATACAGCCATTCTTGGGTCCCCATCGCGCGCTGTGCGCGCTGCGGACAGATCCTGGCGCACGCAGGCCGGGGGCGTGGAGTACCCTGGGGAGCTTACAGTGGGGTGGTACAGGTAGCACGAAGCCCTTTGCCGCGCCGTGGCGCCCAAGGTAGCCCCTGAGGGTCCCTGTTGCTTCCGGTTGCCTGGCCAACGGTGGGCGGGGGTTTCCCCGAAACGTTGAAATGCTGAGCTGTGAGGATCCTTCCCTGCGGGAGCGCGAACAGCCTCTTGGTAGGCGTATTGGCTAGTGATTGCTCGCTCTCTGTTGAAATCCATATTCTGCCTCTACCCATTCTGTGAACTTGGGCCAAGGAGAAGGCTGGGCAACGCTTGGGTCCGAAACACTCTTTGGGTGGTCTGTCATCCGCTGAGATGGGGCTTGAACCGCCCTGCGCCTACCGCACGCTTGCTTCTCTTCCTAAGAGACAGCACAGTTTTCTGAGTTTGGCTTTGGAAGCAACCTGTTAGAAGGGCTGTAGCCTTGTCGTCTTCCCAGAGCCTCTCTCCTGTGAGGTGTGTAACGAATGAGGCTGGCTCTGATCATTTCTAGCAGGTAGTGCTTATTGCTTATGACCGGTTGCTCTTGGAGGGAACTCTGGTGCAGTGAGTATTAGAATAAGGGCCAGAGGCAATGTCAGGCTGACTGGCGCTTCCTTGCCTGGCTGGCTCAGGAGGAAGGTTAGGCTGGCCTGGGCATCCAGGTGGTGGCCTCCTGCAGTGTACCTTTGTCTGGTTACTTAGCAAGGTGCCAGGTCCCCACTCCCCTTCTGCTCCTGTCAGCCACTATACTGACTCCTGGGAGATGTTAGGGTGGAGCAGCTGGTTACCATGGACCTGCAGGAAGGACCTGGAAGGAAGACAGGTGCCAGAACGGCATCTAAGGACAATCGAGGGCTGTCCTGAATCAGTCATGCTTGCCAGAAAAAAAAAAAAAAAAAAAAAAAAAAAAAGAACAAATGCTTGTTATTGTAGTGCATAGGAGATCAAAGTCCATAGGCAAGGGCTGTTGCTGAGTGTTTGAGCCCCTATTGGTTGAGAAGCAGTGTTTTCACCCACCCTGTCTAGTTAGTATACACATTCTTGCTCTACCCAGAATGCACCGGGCTGGTGCTTCATGTTCTTAACAATTGCTCTCCAGCTTAGGGGGCCAGGGTTGGGGTCGCAAGGTCATTGAGTTAAAACTGTACTAAGGGGCAAAGGGGCAGAGTCCCTGAAACAGGGACAGCCAGGGAGGGTGGGGGCCAGCCTGAGCTTCATGCAGTTCCTTCACCTTGGGCAGAGGTGTGCCGGCCTCTGAGGCCCTGTGTCCTGAGTTGCTTGCCTCTTCTACTTGCCGGTCCTCTTCCTTCACCTAGCATGCTGTCCCTGGGTCCCCTGGCCCTCTGTCCTCTAGACTGCACCGAGGACTCGTGTCCTTATTCAGGTTGAATTTATGGTGTTCCAAATGCAGATGGAGGGAGCTCTTCTTAGCTTCCATCTCTAGAGGTGGTGCTTAAGGACCTGGGACTCCATCCTGGTCCGTGTGGACTCTGCTGCTCACCACACGGCCCTGGATAGGGAGAAGCAGAGATGGAGAAGGCCGCTCTAACATAGAGAGCCTCAGGAAGCACAGTGGGGCTGGCACTGGCAGAGGCTGTGGTAGCCTGGGGCTCGCACTGTCCAGTCTTTGAGCACCTCCAGGTCTGGAGCTGTGCTCAGTGGAGATGGGGTGTGTGTATTTTTTTAAATATTTTTATTTATTTATTTTATGCTTATGAGTACACCACCGTCGCTCTCTTCAGACACACCAGAAGAGGGCACCAGACCCCATTACAGATGGTTGTGAGCCACCATGTAGTTACTGGGAATTGAACTCAGAACCTCTGGAAGAGAAATCAGTGCTCTTAACCACTGAGCCATCTCTCCACCTCTAGGGTGTGTGTATTCTTACTGTACAACCTGCATATGGGGAAGCAAGGAAAAGAGAAGATGTAGTCTTGGGCTGGGACCCTGAAATTTGTCCCAGTGCTAATCTTAGAAGGCCTCCTGGCAGAGGAGGCCGACTTGGGATTGACCCAGGTGTCCACAGGTTGCACCATCACGTGGCTGTCCATTATTACTAGAGGAATGGCTGGGGATGTTTCTGGTCCTCCCCTGCAGACATGCACCAGGCTGTTGATGAGCTGGTACTGGTACAGTTCTTCCTGCTGGGCCTGGCTTGTGCCTGTGACACTCCCTCTAGCTTCTGCCATGTGTCACACACTCACACACCTGGGCCATCAGCCCTGGCTTTCCAATGCTCCCTGCAAAGTGTCCCAGGTTCACCCTTCCAGTCTCCCACGGGGAGCTGGGAGAAGCAACAGCCCCCCATGGAGGCAGCAGAACCTTGCCCCTGTTTTCATTTCTGCTTCTGGCCCTTGGCCAGGCTATAGTGGCCAAGGGTGTCATGTGACCAGAGCCACAGGAGGTGGGTACCAGGTGGAATAATTCAAGGGTCTGCAGAGCAGGGAGAGGGTAAAGGGGCAGTGGGGACAGGCTCCTGGTCTCCTGCCCTAACCCTTTCTCCCTCAGCTCTGCCTCAGGGGAGTGCCTGGGAAGAGGGGGCTTCCTGCTGTTTTGGTTCTAGCCTGTAGGGTGGGCAGGGAAGGGAAGGGTGAACTCCAGGGTACCTTGTTGCCTCCTCCCATCTGCTGGGCACCACCTTGTCTTGATTCCCAGTTTTCTGTAGTTCTGAGGACTGGACTTGGACCTGGTGCATGTGGTTTTGGTTCTTGTTTTTGTTATTCCCCCAGAGACAGGTTTTTCTGTGTAGTTCTAGCTGTTCCCGAACTAGCTCTGAAGACCAGGCTGTCCTGGATCTCACAGAAGTCTGTCCAACTCTACCTCCCAAGTGCTGGGATCAAAAGCTTGTGTCACCACCCCAGGCTGTGCATATTTTTCAAGTGCTCTTCCACTGAACTATGTCCCAAGACCCCATACTTTTTTAAAACAAGACCTTGTTTTTTTAAAACAAGACCTCACTATGTAGGCCTGGCTGGCTTCAAATTCAAAGATCATTTGCCTCTGCCTCCAGTGCTCTGTGGGGATTAAGGGGTTAAAAGGGATAAAGGATTAAAGACACCACCTTTGCAGGGCAGTGGTGGCGCACGCCTTTAATCCCAGCACTTGGGAGGCAGAGACAGGCGGATTTCTGAGTTCGAGGCCAGCCTGGTCTACAGAGTGAGTTCCAGGACAACCAGGGCTACACAGAGAAACCCTGTGACTGGCTTCATATTATATATTATATATGTGATATTATTTATATATATTATATTATATTATATTAATTTTTATTTATTTATATTTTGAGTCAGGGTTTCTCTGTGTAGGTCCGGCTACCTTGGAACCCGCTCTGTAAACCAGGCTGGCCTCAAATTCAGAGATCCCCTGCCTCTGCCTACTGAGAGCTGGGATTAAAGGCCCGCGCCACCACACCTGGCCCCAATATATTTTTAAAATGGTTCTAGGGATAGAACCTGCGGCCTTTCAATCACAGAGTAAATACCATACAGCAGTAGTTCTCAATCTTCCTTACACTTAGACCCTTCAATACAGTTCTTCATGTTGGGACAACCCCCAACCATGCATTTTTTTTCGTTGCTACTTCATCAGTGTAGTTTTGCTGCGGTTATAAATGATAATGTAAATATCTGAGCTAGAGGATATCTGATACAGGATTCCCCCAGTGGGGTCGTGACCCACAGGTTGAGAACCCCTGTTCTACAGACAGGCTACACTTCCCACCCACTTCCCCCCTGCAAGAGGGAAGAGGGAAGCATCACTATCTAAAGGGGTGTGGGTGTGTGTGTGTATCCACAGGCTTGCACAAATTCTGTGGTGTGGGCTGAGCTGTCTCTCCAGCCCGTGCTTCATGCTCTCTGAGCTTCAGTCTCTTTACCTTGGGCAGAGGTGTGTCGGCCTCCGAGGCCCTGTGTCCTGCGTTGCTTGCTTCTTCCACTTGTGGGTCCTCTTCCTTCACCTAGCACGCTGTGCCTGGGTCCCCTGGTCCTCTGTCCTCTAGACTGTACCACGGACTCAGTGTCCTCATTCAGGCTGAAACTATGGGGTTCCAACTGCTCAAGGGAGGAGACCCCCCTCTTTTTCTCATCCCCCCTCCTCCTCCCCTTTTATTGGCTCTTTGTGAATTTCACATCATGCACCCCAATCCCAGTTATCGCTCCCTCCCCTTGTACCCACCCTCCACCCTTTCAGCCCCGCCCCCCGAACAGTGCCTGGGAAGAGGGGACTTCCTGCTGTTTTGGTTCTAGCCTGTAGGGTGGGCAGGGAAGGGAAGGGTGAACTCCAGGGTACCTTGTTGCTTCCTCCCATCTGCTGGGCACCACCTTGTCTTGCTTCCCAGTTTTCTGTAGTTCTGAGGACTGAGCCTGGGGCCTTGGGAGTGTTAACTAACACTGAACTCTGCCCTTAATCCTCTCTTCCCTCCCTTTTAAAACAGTGTCTCATGTAGGCCTGGCTGATCTGAACAAGTCACACAGATCATCGACCAAAGGTGTGGGGAATTAGTGATGTGTGCCACCATGCGCGACTTCCTTGTTGCTGGGGACAGAGCCCAGGGCCTTTCTTATACAAATACCTCCCCCTGCCCCCCAGGTATACCTCCAACCCACTTCCTCTTGCAAGAGGCTAGAGGGAAGCTTCAATATCTCAATAGTCTATGGGTGTGTATATATGTATATATAACATATATACATATGTGTGTATGTATATAATATATATATATGTGACCATGCACAGGAATGCACATACATATGTGCTATGGGCTTCCTGAGTCCTGTATCTGCTGAGGCTTACCGGCACAATGATTTCCCGTCATGTTTCTCTCCCC